GGTGGCGTCCGTATCGTTAATGTTCATTCAATCGATCAATCGAAGAAATACCCAGAATCCAAAAGAGAATGAAGTTCAATGGACCTAAACTCGGCGATATAGATGGCAATTGTGTTCATGAAATGTTTTCCTTCAATGAGTTAAGTTTGGCCAGGTACGTTATCAACAACTTGTATTGTATTTTAAGAGATTTGCCAAATTTTCCTCGACTAAATTCAAGTTTTGAAACCGCTGTGGTATAATTCACCTTCATTCATACCATTTACTTCACGCAAGGTGTACCGATATCCACCATCGGAGACAATACGATTTTTTTATATAAAAATTAGCGGGTATTCATGCATGTCGTAAATATATAATCTATGGACATAGTAAATATAGTGAAAAAAAGGAAAATGGATGGAACAAAGCATATCCAACCTTGAACTGAAAATAACAAGCGGATTGGCCAATATATCCGTTCAAGTAGAAAATTATTATATCAGCAATATTCTGCATACATGCAGGTGGATTATTTTTAGAAAGTACTTACGCCTGCTATACGTTTTTCGTCATTGGAGAAAGTTGCCCTTTTTGCACGGTTCTTTGGATGGTGGTCATTAGCATTGAGGGCACTAAGAGCTTCTGTAATTAAGTAAAAATATTTCACATTATTAAATAATCAAACAGCATCAAAAAACTGATCAAACATTTTGTTACAGTTTGTCGCTCTTAAAGGTTCATCTAGAATATCTTTGGGATCTCCTCCTCCTCGGAAACAGCGATAGCATAACCGCAAGAACTAGCGACATTTAACCTGCGTGTTTTCCTTGTAATGTTGGGCTTCTACGCCTATATATACTAAGTGACATATAAATCCGAACACCCAGTTTAAATGGTTTTATTTTAATAAAATTTTGTATAAGTACTTAATGAAGCATAATAAGTAAATGATAAGAATTTCAAAATGATTGCACTGCTTTAAAGCCCTTTGACCTTTAATAATGTGTGGATGCACCCTGATGTGCTACGCATTCTCCAACGCGCCTAGGCATGCTTCTGATCAGGTGGTCAATGTCCTCCTGTGGTATCTCATTCCAGGCAACCACCAACTCCTCTCGGAGTGCTTCTAGAGTCTGAGGAGGACGTTGCAAATTGAGCAATCTCCTACCCATCATATCCCACACGCGCTCAATTGGGGATAAGTCGGGAGATCTTGGTGGCCATGGTAACAATGTGACATCATTATGTTGAAAGAAGTCTATTGTGACTCTGCAACATGTGGTCGGGCATTATCGTTGTTGGAAAGTTGGATCTGCCAGGGTGTCAAGATAGGGTAAAAGATGGGGTTGTAGAACTTCGTGGATATAACGCTGCGCGTTCATGTTACCTCTGATGAAGATTAAAGGTGACTTGGATCATAAGCTATAAGCACCCCAAATCATAACTCCACAGTGTGGAGGAACATGTCTTTCAACAAAAAACTGTGGATTCCTCCTTTCACCACGTCGCCTTCTAACCCTGGCACGACCATCGTGCATGCCTAAACAAAATCGAGACTCGTCACTAAGACAATACTGGTCCATTCCTGATCCCAAAGTGACCGTTGTCTGCACCACTCAGGCGATTACGTCGGTGTTCTCGAGTTAAAGGGAGGACCCAGTGTGGCCGGTATGAAAACAAGTCAAAACTTTTCATTCGTCGGTAAACACTTCGCATGCCAATAAGTCCTTCCGTGTTATGCAAACCATTCATTTGCATGGACCTGGTAGTGGAGAAACGGTCCCTTAAGGCCAATAATCTAGGCGGCGATCTTCACGGTCTGTTGTTCTACGGCGGCGTCCAGTGCCCCTTGCTCTTTGCGTACGGCCTTCTCGAAGCCATGCCTGACAACACCTAACCATAGTGTCTACACTTCTTTGCACTCTAACTGCAATTGCCCGAAAAGAAAGTCCAGCTTCCCGAAGTCCACTATACGACCCGTATCAAACTCACTAAGTTGACGAACTCGTACAGATCTCCCGTACTCTAGGCATCGTAACCGATCGTAAAGGATGTCAGAACCAAATCCGCCAACGTTGATTCTTTACTGCGGCTGAAATATTCATTCTTAGAGCGTTAGTGAATTAAAAAAAGCAGTATAAAACCGGAATGTCCAACTGATAAGGCTGAAAATTTTTTCACTTGTTATTTACAGTAAGATAAATACATTCACCAACTTTTATTAAATAAAACCATTTAAACTGGGTGTTCGTATTTATATGTCACTTAGTATAGTAAAACACCTTAATTCGTTATGGTTAACTTGTTCCGTTAATATTTGCTGCTGTAGTCGTTCCTCTGTCTCTGCAGCATTTCCGGTGACCTTTATTACTCGAAATACCTAACATTTGCTAACAGTTTCTAATAACAATATTTACCCAACGTGTTTGCACTATACTGCATCCTAGCCGACGACAAAATTAAATCATACCATGTAGGAGGTATCTAAATTAATTGACGAAACTGGCAACGTGGCGTGCGATCTGGCAACACTGGAGGCGCCGGGCTTGGAGGGGAGACAGTGGAACATGTGATCCGTCTTCAGTACAAGCTTGAGCTCGCTCGAGTCATTTGGTGGTCCGTAGCGATTCCTTTTGTATGTGTGTACGTGTAATTGTACCCGATTACCACGTCCCAAGCAGTGATAACCTCCAGGTCTCTCGTCAGAGAGGAAGTCGTAGCTAGCCTTCTTTTTCCAACTCAGCGGCATAAATCGGCTTGTCACTCTGAATTCCTGCATGTAAAGTGCTGTCATCATCAAGAACAACTGGGTGTTGTATCACGATAATGCTCCTTGTCACACATCAATGTCGATAAACGAGTTTTGGGCCAGTAGAAAGATTCTTGTGGCTCCTCAGCCTCCTTATTCACATGGCTTGAGTCCTTGTGACTTTTTCCCTTCCCGAGGTTGAAAAATCACCTCAAGGAAACTCATTTTGGGACAGTCGAAAACATTCAAACGGCTGCAACCGACCAGCTAAGGGTTATTCCAGTATCCAAGTTCCCACACTGCTATAAGGAGTGGAAGAACCGTCTCCAGCGCTGTGTGGTTTTAGAAGCAAGTCATTTTGAGGATGACATTAAAAAAATTTAATTATATTTGACTAAAAGAATTAAAAAATCAGCCTCATCACTTCATAGACAGACCTCGTATATTCCTTAGCACTTAGCCTATGTGTTGATCTACTTGACGTGATTTAATTTTTGTATTTTTGAATCATTATGAAACAGAAAATAGTTCAGATAAGGATAACGGATTTATTGCAGTGGAAAATCTAAACAAAAATCAATAAATAAAATAAATTATCAATTATAGTCGTAATCAATTTGTAAGAGTACTTAAATTGCAATTAAATACACGTTTGATTTTTATAAAAACATTAGAAGTTCATATCGCAAAAAAAGTTGCAACCAGGACAATGGGCGCATTTAGGAAATGACAACGGTTGTCTTTGGATTCAAATGGCTACTAACATAAAAGGGAATGTTCAGGGGGGCGGTTTTGGGGCTCAAGTCCCGTCTCCCCCTAAGCTCCAAAACCTTATATATTTTTCTTTATATAATCTATACCTATCTACATCTAAGCTTAAAAAAATATTTGACACTGAGCATTTATTTGTGAATCAGACTGCTGACAGCATTTTTATACGAATTTTTGCGCTTCACACGTATTTTTTGACCGGAAAAATAAGACTCTCATTAGGTAGGCAAACATCATTAAGATAAACGTTGATGTATCGATACACCGATGTTTTAGATGAAATGGCGTCAAGTAGGTTGGCTTCTTACACAACGCAGTCATCAGTGCATAAAGGATTAAACTCTCTGCTTAAGAAATTAGTTCAATAAAAAAATTAAACTGGTCAAGTCAGCCAAACTTTACCATTGAGTTAGGCCATAGAAAATTATTTCTCTGCCTTACCAGTAGTTGTCGTCCGTCTGGCAACGTTGCGCCTTCCCACCACCGCAGTACGAGCGAAAGAGCCAGTAAAATACTGGAGCTACTTCAGAAGTTCCCCAGGGATCTAACTTGGAACCTTATTATTTTTAATATTTATTAACGATTTGTCACTTGAGATTAAATGTCATTTATTTTTTGCTGATGATTTAAAAATTTATAGTAGCATCGTAAATTACGACGACTGCCATTTTCTTCAAAATAATTTGGAAATTATCAGTTCATGGTGTTCCAGAACCCTCCTCATACTAATGGTGTCAAAATATATATTATAGGAAACAAAACGTTATGCTTTATTATGATTAACGTATTAATCAGGTAAAGTTAGAAAGGAGTAACAGTTATAAAGACCTAGGTGTTACATTTGATGCCAAGTTCACTTGCTTTCCGAATGCTAAAGTACTGTGTTAAAAAGTGGCCAGGTTTCTCGAATGTTGAAACAATCAAGCTTCTATATCTAACATACGTCAGAAACAAGCTTAATTATACATCGCTTATCCAGGCACCTATTTATCAAAACTCTCTTAGCACATAGGAATCTTTTCAACCAAAACATAAGATTTATTTCCCTTATATTTTAAGTAACATAGGTTTTAATGTTCCTCGCTCAGGTAACCGTTATTGTGCTACATTTTACTGTGATTTCTGCAAAACCGATGTTTTGTCCAAGTCTCCCGTTCATAGGATGTGTACTCTATTCAATAGTATTAGCAAATGCGACATATTCAATGACACTAAATCTCGCGTCATCGAACTTTACCTTGATGACATTGTAAGGTAGTATATTATTGTTGATTATTTACTTGTACATATATTGTTATACTTATCTATGTATTTGTGTACTGCACTTTATTGATATGTATTGATATTTCCTGGAATTGGGTGTTTCTGTCGGTTAGAAATAAACTGATTGTTATTATTATATTAGGGTACCAAAATGGAAGAGAGTTGGTACAAAAATAAGGATTTCGGTCACTTCTCTCTGATATTTCTCCATAGCAACATCGACAAATAAATAAATGTATTTACGTGTACATATTGTTCTATAAAAAGGAGTGTACATGTATAGGTGTGTGCTTAATTACTATAACGATGAATTATTAATTGATCTAGTGCTAATTAAGTAGATGGCAGTGGGAATAGGGTTTCTATAATTAATATGCACGGTCACCCATTAGAATTTATTTATTTCATTATAACCAATTTACATCAGCAACTACGGAAGGGGAACGACATTTATATGGGTAATTTGGAATGGCAACTATAACTTGTTATAACATTAGAAAAAAATTATACCAGTTTCTCTCATATCTCTTGATAAATATAGGTAGATAAATGAAAGGAAACCTGAAATGCGCATGATCTTAGATATGCTCCAAAAATAACGCCAAACAGAAGAGAACTCTATTCACTCGATTCAATGCTACAAAGACCTCAGCTTACAAGGGCCCCTACCCGAAAAGAGCAAATGTCGTCAAATAGGTTGACTCTTCACTTGCCATGCAACGCCATCATCAGCTCATGAAGGATTATGTTCGGCCCAGGTTTTCCTCTATTTTATTTTTGCTACATGTTTGACGCAAAAATTAAATCAGTCAAGTCAGACAAATACACCCATATAGAATTAGTACATACTCCATGGTCA